TGTCGCGCAAAACTCACGAAAAGCCGACAAAGAAGTCGCTACAGCGTAGGCAGCCACGAAAAAAAAGGTGCATTCCACGTTGAAAGGCAGATACACAGTAGACGTGCTACCAGGCTGATTCTGGAGCATGAGGGCTGGTAGTGTAGTGCGTAGCACGACATCTGAATGTTATGGGATGGTGGATCGATTCCTTTCCAGTCCGCAACTATTTTCAAAAAGCGATTCTGTTCACAACAGGAACGAAACACGTGGCAGAAGCGCTCGGCGTGTACAAGCGCTCCAGCAACATCACTAACCTATTATCTGAGCGGTCTTAGTATTTCATTCCCACTAAGATAATCAAGAGCAGTTGAAGAGTTGATGTGGCTACCCCATTTTAGCAATGTTACTCGGATTATAGAAAATTAGAGGACAGTCACCGTTTTATTCATTGACAACTGTTTTGGCAGGGTTACAACGGGAAAACATGCAATGCTCACTGGTTTTCATAAAAAAATGAAAGAAATTCAAGCCTTCACTGTAACAGGATATTTGGCTGTTCAAAAACTTACAAGTCCATATTACAAAACGATGGCAGTGTATTTCAGTGGTATTCAAGTACGGATGAAACGTCGGATCGACCCAAAAAGGCATCTCGTCGTACAGTGCTTCATAGCTAGGATCGTACATGGTGACATGTGTACCGTTATTTCCTGATATCCAAATGAAGCCCATACCGCGAATATGAATAAGACCGGTTAGCATCGGTACACGTACCTTGTCAAATCCGTTTTCTTTCAAGTATTCTTAAATGCTCAAGAAAATTATTGAATTTTCCATTTTATTATCCTAGTTTGTACATCTGGGGATATATACTTTGCCGGAGAAGTAAAAGATTTACAGAAAGCAGTCAATCACAGGGCCAAATAGTATGCAATAAAAAGATTGAGTATTAGGTGGCTGGATATGGGAAACTTAAATAGAAAGTCTGATGGAAGTTTCCTCTTCTCTGTTCTCTCTTGCACTCATCTCTCCCTCTGGTTGCTTCTACTTTTTTTAACTTAATTTTTACCTAATATTAATGCTAAAATACTTATTAGGCTTAAGAAGAACAGTAAACGCCATTTAAAAAATAGATATTCGTTATCTGTGAAGTATTTAGAAATATCAAGTATTGAAACCTATAACATATTTAGTTAATATTAAAACATTCCGGTTCATTAAGTTGTGTAAATTTTAACTCATTGCCATAACTGGATCTCATCAGTCCAACAGCTGTGGCAAAAATTGCTAATATGCAAAAAAGAAACTAGAGATTAATAAAACAAGAGTAAAACATATCTGTAAGAGGATGAAAGTGCGGACACGAAAGATAACTGAGTTCAATTTCAAACTGAAAAAAGTAACAAAACCAGGAGAGAGGTGGTTGCTTTGTTACTACTTTGCTTGTTAATTTCTGCTACTAGCAAATAGCTTATTACTTTCAGCATAACTTCTCAGTTCGAAAATCTGATCGCGATGACGTATTCGTGCAGCGACCGTTCGATGACCCGCGGTTTGCCTGCACATTTTATTAACCAAATTATACGGCAACGATTCCTGTATAATGTGCATATTTTCCATTTCGGATTAACAAAATCACCAAATACTATCCAAAGTGCTGCTGTGAAACAATGATACCAACATGCAAGTCAC